ATAAACCACATCAATTCCGAATGTAAATTGTACAAATCCTGATACACTCTCATTCTCAGTAAAACTGAATAATGTTGTATTTAAAAAAAAAAAAAAAAAAGATAACCATAATCCCTATTTTAAAAAATTTAAATTATAAAATACTAGCCAGTCAGAGCATTCTCTGTTGAATTAAGTATCATTTGAACTGCCAACCTTCTGTTTAGCAGTCAAATGCCCTAGGCACTACGCCAGCAGAGACCCAATCTTATGCATAGGAGCTCTGCTGTGCAAACAGTTATGCAGTTAAGTGCTGGACATTAACCAAAAGGTTGGTGGTTTGAACCCATCCAGCAGCTCCAGGGGAGAAAGACCTGGTGACATGCTCCCATAAAGATTACAGCCAAGAAAACTCTCTGGGGCAGTTGGAATCAACTCAATGGCAGTGGATTTGGGTTTTGGCCACTTTACTGACCCAATTTACTATTACAAAACTTTAAACGTATTTACGTATTTAATCCTCTTAACGGTCCTACAAAGGGGGTTATCATTTACAGCTGTGGAAATTGAAGGACCAAAAAAAAAAAAAATCCCTAACTTATCTAGGTAATGCCACTAAATAAAAAGCAACAGAGAAGGGATTTGAACAGACAGGCCAGCTCCAGTATCAGTGTTTTTCAAACCTTAATATACAGGCAAATCACCTGGGAATCTTGCTGAAATGCAGATTATGATTCAGTAGCAGGGAGGGGTATACAAATTATGCATTTCTAACAATCTCACCTATGAGATTGCTGCCGGGTCTGCAGAGCATCCTTTCAGTACTAAGATTCCAGTCTACCCCAGAAAATGGTATAAAGTGGTGGTAACTTCAGGAGGTAGTCCCATCCACAGTTAAATTAGGCTTATAAACAAGTCAAGGGTGAGCTCTGGTGGTGTAGTGCCTAAGGCATTTGACTGCTAACCAGACGTTGGTGGTTCAAACTCACCAGCCACTCCTCCAAAGGAAGATTGGGCAATCTATTTCCATAGAGATACCACCTCGGAAACCCAAGGAGGGGTTGGTATGAGTTGAATGGACTTGACGGCAGCAAATTTGGATTTTTGTTTGTTTATAACTTAATTGTTTTATTTTAATAATAAAAATCGTGGCACTCTGGAGGCGTAATATCTAAGGCATCTGACTGCTAACCAGAAGGCTGGCGGTTCAAACTCACTTAGCCATTCCTCGGAAGGAAGATTGGGCAATCTACTTACATAATGATACTGCCTCGGAAACCCAAGGAGGGGTCGCTATGAGTTGGGTCCAACTCCAGTTTGGTTTTTTTTGCAATAATAAAAATTAGCAAAACTTTCACTTTTTATAGTACCCGTTTTCAGGTTTTGCTAGTTAACATATTAACACTGTAACAAGATACACACCCCATAAAGTCTTTCCCACATCCAAAAACTATTCACAAATATCCCTTAAATATTTACTGTAACATATAGATTCAATGAGAACATGATAAAAAGTATTTATTTACATTTTTCACATATGCCCAAAAAAAAATCTCTGGAAAACAGAAAGAACATAACACACTACTCAACAATTCTAATCACTAATTTTCTCGAAAAACAGATAAGGAAATGCCCATTACACAATTTCCCTTCATTCTCATTGGTGTATCAATTATTTATACTCTAACCTAAACTAGAGTATGCCAACTAAATATTGTATAGAACATAAATTTGAAACCACTAAATGAATATTAACATCCTTTTCTAGGATGTTTGGCCCACGGCTCTGTAACACCTAATAACTTTAATACCATCAAACCACTGGAAATAACATCTCTATCAAACTTCTATACTATCAAGAAAAAAATATTAACATTATCGAAATATATTCAGACACATTTAATTCAACAACTAAGTCAACCTCAAAAGGGTGGTGCAAACAGTTAACAAGGTTGCAGGCTCAACTCCACCAAAAGGCATCTGGGAGGAAAGCCTGGTGCTCTACTTCTGAAAAATCAGCCACCAAAAACTCCATGGAGTACACAGTTCTTCTCTGACACAAGGGGTCGCCACGACTCAGAATCAACTTAATGCAAACTGATCGTGGTAAGATCACCGTAGGTGAATATTATACAAAATTGCCTAACAAACATTCAAACATAGGAAGGGATTTAGAACATTCGCCAAATCATTAAACAATTGTTATTTTGCAGTATTTTGTTATTTCAGTCAACATTTTCCAGACTGTACAGATACCTACTTTTTCCCTGAAGAGGAATTAAATCTGTGATATTCTGACAAGCTTACAAAAATCATATTCAAAACCAAAATGGAATTGTGATTAAATAACTACACATGAAGTTAGAAGAATTAGGTTTCCTAGATCGTAGGCAATATGACCTCATATATTCTAGAATTTATGAACACAGAAGACCATTTTTAATTAATTACTAAATTGAACTACCATAAAGCTAACATTCTTACCTATGGACCCGTGAATTAAAAGAACATAACACCATAATCCATCACATATCTAACATAAAATTAAAAATACACTACAAATTCAGAGTTATCTGCGAAAATTGAAAATGCCTCTGCTAAACGCTTGATATTCCCAATTCCTGCTCAAGGACAAGGACTAACTAAGCCTTACAGTTTCTCTTCTATCTCTTATAAGTATAAAAAAAAAACTATACAAAAAAAAGTTTAAAAAGACATAGTATACTTATTAACTATCTTATGTAATTTAATATATACATTTATGCATATGCTCTCTTCCACCCCCAAAAAATGAAGTCATTTAAAATAAAACACACTAAAGTGCCTGGGTATTTTATGTGTCAAGCATACAAAAGACTGTCCCCAAAGTAGTAAGAAACAACTTCTCCTAGTTTCCTATTAAGACTCATACTTTTTTTTTTCCTTTTAATCACTTACAAAGAAACTCATACACTTAAAAGAACTGGAAAATTGAAAGACATCACTTGCAACAGCGGACAATCATCGCAGGTTGTTACAAAAGAAAGCAGAGTCCATGTTACTATTCACAAGCAATTCAAAAGTTTTACTATTTCACTAGTCCAAACACTAAATGTTTGCATGCACTATCTCATGGACTTATATATGAAATTTGGTATATTCACAGAAAAATAAAAGACAAGTGAAGTTTTTATTTTATAGAAAGATTCTATTTGCTCTATAACAATCTTCAATGATGTGGTGGAAATATTCCTGGGTCAAAACATATAAAGCAGCATTTCTTCAGCAACTAGCAACACTACACTATTGCTCAACGGGTATTTAAACTGGGCTCTGTAGATTTATGCACATTCTAGTGTGTGACATTTGCAGAAAATGTACAGAAACCTTTTAAAATATTTGACCTTACATGCAATTTTAAAATATTTAAGAGTTTTCAATTACTAGATCTTTGTGTTTCACAGAGGGAAGTATCAGAATACACTCTGCAAATTAAGTGATTCTTCCAAAGAGCAAATTTAACTTGACCTCCCTAAATGGCTACAGATTTAACACACCATTTAGAAGGCTGGAAAAAAATACTTTGATTTATTTATTATCTAAAGCAGCAGTGTCCAATAGAAATATAATGCAAGTTACACATGTAATTTAAAATTTTCTAACCACATTTAAAAAGGCCAAAAAATTAAAATAACTTATTTTATAATCTCAGTATATCCAAAATACTATCATGTCAACATGTAATAAATACTTTAAAATCTTAGTATGGTATTTTACCCTTTTTTTGTACTAAGTCTTCAAAATCCAGTTTGTATTCTATACGTGCAAGCACATCTCGATTCGGACTCACCACAATTCAAGCTCTCGACAGACACATGTAGTTCATACCTATGTTACTGGACAATGCAGCATTTAAGGAATAGTTTGAAATTTAGCTTAACACTACCTGTTTAAAACTAATTGACATTCTTTTTTATTTTTTGGACTGAATACTGTGACTACAAATACATATGAACAAAATGTTAATTCACTTGATAAAACAAGATCAGATCACCTTATCGGAGGATCCAGTTAACACACAATAAAAAGCAACTGGATTATACCCTATAGCTCAAATAAGCTCCAGAAATAAGTCTGATCATCACACACGAACACAACTTGCAGCAAAAACAAAAGAAACTAAAACATTTTTGTCTCAAACCATAACACTGCCTTATTTCTAGCAGCCTCTCATTCTTAAGCACGCAAAGGATCTACATGGTAATTTCTCTAAGTTTCACAAATTTGGGAAGCCATACAGTCATGTTAAAAAAATACAGAACTATGTTAAGAGGAACTGAAAAAAAAAATTACCTATAAACTGCTTTTAATGCATTTTATAACAACCAATAATCCTATTCTCCTTAAACTCCACTGAAATTCATTCTCCCAATTCATTTACATCTTTACAGACTTTTATTTCAGCTACCAAAATCCCTAAAAATTTTTCCAAGTAATCAGGACATTTGTTTAAAATGCAAATTCCAACAATGCATTCTCCAGAAAACAACTAAGTCCATTAGCTTAGCACATAAAATTTGTCCTTAAGACAAGTCAATTGAATAAATCAGACAACTATACTCTTATTTACTGCATTTACATTTTTGTAACACCACAGTCAGCAATGTCTAAATTTGGAAGGTCAGTTCAGATTGCACACAAGCAGTAACTTCAAAGCTTAACATTTTAGAAGTTTCTGCAATATACTTCAGAATATAGCACTCCTCAGAAACGCTACATAACAAAAATCAATGCTATTCAAACTAATCTTAGTAAGCCTCGTAAAAATAGTATAACTGTAAATATAATACGCACGATATATGCCAAAATATTTTTTCTCCCAAATTTATTTAATGCACCTTAGACAATTTTTGTTCAATCCACTTGAAAATCTGAAAAGCAGTAAATGTTGCCTCCTGTGCTGCATGCGTCCAGGAATGAAACATTAATCTCTTGACATACTCCCACAATTTGAAATGAAAACAACCAAATTTGTTTCTTACCTACAGTTAGGAGGAGGATCGAGGGTTATTTCAGCTAGCTCCTTCTGAATTCTGTTAGTGAAACGAGAACAGACAAAAAGCATTTGCGATAGCCTACAGAATAACCGGGGAATTACACTGCCCTCTACCACCATGCAGTTAAATGCAAGGCTGGCTTTGCCTTCAGTAATGCTAACATGGCTGCTTCCTCTTTGTTCTCAGAGGCATAACCCAAATCCCTCAACAGAAACTTTGCAGCTTTTTTTCTCACTTGCTACTGTAAACAAGTAAGACATTTACACCTGATTTGGAAAATAGTCCTCCACTAGTACTCAGTAAAGGAGATAAAATCTATTTTAAAACACTTTTTACCAGAGAAATTCTCTTTTCAAGCTTATATGCAAATGAGACAAGAAGGGAGGAGGGAAAGCACTAGAATATTTGACAATGACTTCAAGTCACTTTTACTAAGGTAAGAATGAGCAGACTACTGTAAGAACACATAAATAGTTTTGACAATATTTTATGTTTAAAAAAAGTTTAAAATTTACAAATATCTTTAACAGTGAAAAACTTACAAAGGACTCTGACATTCTTATTTAATCTCATCTGTTTTTCCTGATGTTAGGTACAGCATTTAAATTTAATAAATTTTAGGGAAAAGGGGATAATGGTATGTTATATAGCCTTACATTAGAAAAAAAGCAGTTCTGATTTTATTCAAATGTAAAATGTTTTGAAAACTTAAAATTTGTTTACTATGTTCAACAAGATTACCAGAAATTGAGAAGTATTATAAATTATTTCAAAGATACCATTTAATAAAACTATTCTCAAGTTATTATTAATGCTTGATTATTATGCAATACAGAAGTGAAAATCTATAGAAAAATAGGAGTATTTCAGAATCACTACAGAATACAGTATCTGATCAGGTTTTATATTTTCTTTGCCCTTTAGTTGTGATCAATAAAAATCAACAGAATGTCAATACTAATTCAATAGATACATTTGATGTATCTCTGTCCACATAATTACTGGAGTTCATGGGTATTCCACAAGCACCATCACTGATGGAGTCCCATTGATAGGATTTTTTTTCTTTCATCACAGACAATATAAATCAACAGGAAACAAATGATCTTTCACTTACACTCAACAAAATATGTTTCTCCTGCTGTTGAGTATTAAATGTGTCAAGCCTATCCACAAGTTTTAAAGAGTTGCACAAGGATAATGAAAGTTTTCAATAGCCAAGTGACACCTAAAATTGTAAATGGCTACTTTGCAGTTTTATGTGCCATCACAAGAACACAGAGGAATAATCATAACTTAAATTACACCTGGGGTGAATGACTTAAAGCCTTGTTTGTAAAACTGAGAAGAGTTTGTAGCACAATTTTAAATCTGCTTTCACATACAGCCAAGGCCCTGAATTTATAAATTTTCTGGCAAATGTGATCATGTCTGATCACTAAAGTCTCATTAAGAGTCACTGCTGATCTCTAGAAGTGTCAATGTCAATGAAGAATAGGACTGGACAAGGAAACATCCCCACTGTACCATCTAATTTGGGTCCGTAAATAACCCATGGCCAACTCCTTAATCTGTCAGACGATTAGCCCAATCTTTATACAGGGGCACTCTTGCTGAAGTTACCAAAGTTTGCTTAAAACTGTAATTCTAGGGAGGTGGTTTATGTACCACCTACACGAAGACAATTATTCATTCAAAAACAAATAAAATTGATCATAAAGTTAATAATTTCTAACCATTGCTACTGATGTAAAATCAACAGAAGTGTCCAACCATTTGGAAGGCAACCTGACAGTGTGCTTTAACCCTTTTGCAACACATTACCTTTTAGCACTAGTGGATAACTTAGCAGTGGTTTTGCTAGACAGTTTGGTGTTTTTCTTCTGCTGGGTGGCAGAAGGTTTTCTTTCTTCTTGTTCTTCAGGCTCTGGAGCGGCTGGGTCTCGCTGGTCTGCATCTGAACTACCACTGCTGGTGCTTGGGCTCTCATCATCGGACCTTTGCCTATCACTGGACATCTTGGTGAAGTTATTTCTTGGAAAACTTTTAAAGAGAAAAGAGGCAAAACAAAAAAAGGAAATGTTAAGTCTAAGAAATAAACCAATAGCAGTTTACTTTCTTAAAATTCAATTAAAATCATATTTTCATGAAAAGGCTTCAAAAGTGTTCACACTTAATCATACAGCAAGGTTACAGGGGACGTGGTATGTCTCACAACGCCAGCGTTCAGGGATTTACCGAACTCAAGTTAGAAAACCCACTCACATTTTTTTTTCCACCCGTTGGACAATCTATCAATTGTCTACTTTCTCAGAAGGCATGAAACAGATTTGCCAGGGAACTTAGGCAACGAGCATTAATAACATATGACACGCTGTAAATAACAGATCTCGCTGAAAAATGTTAAAAAGTCACTAATAACGTCTAAATATTTACACACTGATACTGGTCAAAGCTACCAAATTCCCTTTCCTAAAGGAAAACATACCCTGTTAATCGCCCATATGCTTATTTAACGTGGCGATTCCTCCTCTTCTGTGCACGTAAGGCTTTAAACACAACACTTAAAAATTTAAAAATCAACCAACAAGCTGCTCTAGCCGTTTTCACGGCCAGCAGCGAAGATTCATCCGGCCAAGAGCGAGCTGCCACCCTGGGAAAAGCAGAATCCAAACTGCACCTTCTG